GGAGTAATAAATCAAAACTTTATGGGAGTTTTACAGCACAGGTGGCTCAAACAAAATTAGTGATTTTAACGAGCCGACAGTTAAAAGGTTTGGTTTTAATAACAATTTTACCTGTGCTGTCCGGTTTCGTGGATTATATAATAATAATAATAATAATAATAATAATAATTTTTATTGCTTATCAACTTATACAAAGTTACAGCAAGAGTTTGAGTGTAGTCACAGTAACATAAACATAATTCAAATTGAGCTAAAAGTAAAGTAAAAAAAAAAAAAAAAATATATTAAATAATCATAGAATACTAGAATACATTATTCGTTCAAAATAAATGATCTCAATTTTAATATGTTACAAATATATGAGTAAATATACTTAGCATCATTGATGGTCAAATTTTCTAGTGTTGCAATAAGAGCATTTATATTTTCAAGTGATTGAATTTTAGGCTTCATAACATTGTAAATCGGACATTCAAAAAGAATATGTAAAAGAGTTTCGTTTTCCGCCTTATTACACACTGTACATATACTTTTGGGATCTATTGTGTACAAAATGTTATTTACAGTGAATTTTAGCTGATATTTGTTACTTAAACGAAGCTGGGCAAGTGTGCGTGTGATGTGAATTGGTAATTTTAATAGTAGGTAACTTTTAGGATTTTTTCCAGTTGGAAATGACGTATAAAAAGATAAAAAGTGGCATCGTTCGGAAAAGGAGACATCCAGATTATACAATCTGTTATAATAATCAGATAACAGCTTTTTTGTGTTTAATTTTAAAGTTCTGGCATTGAGGTTATTCCATAGATCTAGATGATTAATAGATGTAAATATTTCTTTAACTTGTGCAACCCAATTATATTTCTTATCCGAAGAACCTATCAAAAGGAGTTGTTGCTTAAAACAAAGTTTAGGATAGCGTTCGTCACTCATATTAAGTATTTTAAGTAACCAATTTAGTGTCATTTTAAATATATTAAATGCATTAGGGTTGTGTCTAAACTTACCCTGTCCTCATACAAACTTGAGTTTTCAAGAACTTCACTGGGTATAGTGCCCATATTAGATACCCTGCTGTTAAAATCACCACCAATTACAATTACAGTGTCAGTGTATTTTTCTGTTATCTCGGTCAGTGTAATCTGAAAACTTTCTAAAATAAAATCAATATTTATTGATGGCTTTAAGTATAAGTTACATATTATTATTTTAAAATCATTTAAACTGAACAAACAACATATCCACCAAGATGATTTACATAAAACAAAAGCATTAAAAGTGTTTCTATAGAAAATGCACAAACCCCCACTTCCTCTACCTAAGGATTTTTCTTTTACCGCACACGCACTTACTACACTAAAGTCATTTAAACCTACTTCGGTTGCCGATGCAATCTCCGATGTAACCCATGTCTCACTAACACAAAGAAAGTCATATGAAGTGGTCGATGAAAGTAGGTTCTGTAAGTTTCTATAACCATGACAATTCCAGAAAGTTATAGTTAGTTTTTTGTTGAGGTTGAAGTTTTGTTTATTTTGAGAGTGCTTTGGTTAGGGGAGGATTCTTCATCACGACCTCTTTTTGTGGTGATAATTGGGACAATCTGTGGATGACCATTAATGAACTTAATTTTTATATTTTCTCCTTTAGCCTTTCGGTTGTCTAATTCTTGAAATACTAAAGATAACTCTTCTTTTTGCCGAGGTGTATAGTCATTTGCAACCTTGACATTTGGATATTTTACCTTGGGCAATTTGTCTTTATTACGTAAAACTAGGAGGGCACTTTCTTTGGATGAAAACTCAATTTTTACCGGTCTAGGATTACTTCTATTTTGTGCTTTACCAATTCTGTAGAATTTTTTAAAACTAACATTAGCTTGATTTAAAGTCAGTTGTAGGATATCTTTAACTGCTACTTCCAAATCCAGAATTTCATCAACACCATACATGATTACATTTTTTTCCCTATCAATTCTACTTTTGAATTCACAGTACAATTCCATTGAGTTCAATGGTTTGACTTGTTTTTCAAGTTCAGAAATTCGAGTTTGCATAAATGAATTCTCTTTCTGCAGAATAGTAATTGTTGTCATACAAGAATCAATTTTCTTATTTTGATCCAACAAAATTTTATGTATATCTTTAACACTTTCTGCCAAACCAGACAGCTGATCAGTTATTAATTGAAATTGAGCCTCCATATCTACACCACTGGTTTATAAATTAATGTAGTCCTAAATCGATAGATATCTGAATAGTATTAATCCAGTTTTTTCCACACTCGATAGTTGGTTTTACGATAAATTAAATAGATAGGTACTCACTGTTTTGGTAATTTCAGCAAAAAAATCCAAAAATATAATATATTTAGAAAAGTTTTTTTAAAATTATTAATATTAATAACTCTTGAAAGATCGTTTCACAAAAATAAATAATCACTTTACTTTCTAATTTAACAAAAATTATTTTAAAGATAGTACAGACAATGTACGTGTTGTCAGGTCAAAGGTTCAACCCAAACTCGTGGATTATAAACAATAGGCTACCCTTATTTTAAACACTTTTAAGACTCTGATGAGCGCACAGTTGGATAAATTAGGGGGAATTTGTGGTTTTGCAAGTACATCCACTACATGACGTACTGCAGGCTTATTTAATTTCACAATTTCTAGTTGTTCTATTTTTATTGATTTTTATGGAAAGTTAATGTTTTTATCTGTTAGCCACTTAATGATATCATCTTTCATCCATGAAGTATTTGGCATACGTTCAAATAGACGGGAATGGTCACTAGCGTTGACCATTACTATAACTGAACCCTTTGGTAAATGTTTTATCATCTGCTGAAAATATTCTTCAAAAACATAAACGTTAATATCTTCATGGTAGTTTGGTAGTCTCCGTTTTTTTAGATTGAACTATTAAAGAAACACGTTTTGAAAACCCGTCATCACTTCCAATAATTAGACGTCGTTCTTTATCGGAATGAACCTTCAATTCTGTAGGTAATCCTTTCAAAAAGCCTGTCGTGATGATTTAATGTTTGTGTCCTGCCACATTTTACTAACGGTGTAACCTTTATTCATCCAGGTTTCGTCCAAATAAAATATTTTTTTGCCTTCTGCAAGTAATTTAAAAATGGTTCTGAGGTATCTCCGTCTCCAACAAACAATTTCCTCAGAATCAATAAGTGCTGCTTTCCTATCTGTTTATCCCACTTAAACTTCAAATCTATTAGAGTTTCCCGTAGTTTTGTCTTTCCCATTTTAGGAAAATACGGATCACTTTTTTAAAATAAAATTCGTGAACTTTTCTTCTTATTCCGCTTTTAATTTGTTCAGTAAATTCCACTTTTTTCTTACCTCCTGCATTTTTCTTTGGGGGTTTAAAAACTCCACTTTTTAATTCACTTATAACTTTATATATCGTTGATTTGCTTACGACCATCATATTACTTGTCTTTTTAACAGTATCGTCAACAGAAAACGAAGGATTTTTCTTACTCAGGCAATTATAAACATTGCAAATATTTTCTCGTTAACTGACAACGCACACTTTTTTATATGTTTCACAGGTGTAAACTTTGAACTTGGGCCACACTGCATTTTTCAATACTACAGTCACTATTATTCGAAAATAACCACAACTTCTTACTATAATAGATAATATAGAAGGCTAATCAAACAGGGTAGGCAAAATTGAGAACTGTTCAAGATACTAACTGCAACTGCCTATCTTATCTTTATACCAAATCTTAGGTAGGTAACCATCTTATAATCTCACCCCTTGTTATCATTTTGGTTTTCCATGTCATTAGTAATGTGACGTTTATTTAATTTATTTATAGTTTATTTATATAAAACACACTATTTACAATTTATTTATGACGTACTAATTAATTTATATAATACTTAGGCACTAACTCACAATTCTAATTTATTTATTACAATTTAACTGTTCTGCCCAACACTTTATTCGAATCTCCTCGTCCGTCGATAAGTCGCGGTATTTATACCAAGCCCAACTCTGTACGGGAAGTTTCTAGATGATGTCGAATATCCTAAAATTCCATCTCTATGACTCAACGGCACGTACCGCTTGTTCTGGTAGTTTTTCGAGAAGCGGAGCGTTTGTCTCTATACGTCAGCGGTGTTTCGACCATGAGTCGAGTAGCAGGCTGAAGTTCGCACTCTACAGGGACGGCTTAGGCATTCCCATGACAGTAATCTCCAAACAGATGATAAAATAACGATTAACCCTTAGATTATAGTTTTCGTGACATCAAAATGTGTAAGAAGTCAATGATGAATAACGATTTAAATAATTTATAGTCAAATTTATAGGTCTTGAAAAATATTTGTTACATACCTTATTGTTAATTTACTTAAACAGATAACTCTATCATTTACAAAACAATTGCAAATAACTCAAAAAACATTTTGTAAATTACCTACATACCGAAATAATACTCAATAATACATATTCAAAAAAATATATTTTTAAATGATATTATGTGCCCCTTAAACAATATTATAAGCACCCACACCCGAAATTTCCTGTTCTGACAGATTTATTACTCCAGCTCGATCACGAATCTAGGGTTAAATAAGCGCCTTATTACTTCCAATAACTGTACCAAATTCAGACCAAATCGATCTAAATATATTTATATTTATAAAATACCCATTTTTTTAACTTTAAAAGCAGCTCCAGACATGTTGATAGGAACTTTTTTTCAAAAAATGACCTAAGGAATCACTCTGAAGTTTAGGAAACATACTGTATAACGTACACTAAATATATGTGGTCAATTAAAAAATATTTAAAATAATTTTTTGGGTATTTGTTTACAAAAAAATATTTTATTCTACATACGATTATTTCTAAATGTTCTAGGTGTGGATTATATCCTTGAGTTAGCTTCTATAATTTTGAAATAATTTAGTTAAATAATGTTAAAATGAGTATAGGTAATAATTATTCTATTTTTGTTTCCAGATCTATTATTGAAAAATCAGCGATGGCCAATATAACCTTCGACATTACCAGTCAAATCAAGCATACAGCTATAAACATACACGAACCTCTGGCTATACAAAAACCGAAAAAAACTGCCATTGCATCTTTCAATACTGACATATTTCCTTACGCACTAATAGTGGTCGGTATAATCATTGGTGTTTTGGGCCTTGTTGGAATCATATACATTTGCATTTCATGGTCAAGGTAAGCAAAATATTTAAGTAATAAATGTCAATTCACTCCATTTTAGATAAACTGTGAAATGTCCTTCAGTATCTTTTCAAACCAAATCTGCAATTCATTTTAGCAGGTGATTTTAATTGCTATGCCTCTATATACAAGATTTTAAAGAACTATGTATGTCAAGAATTTCATTTCAATTATTAAGCTATTGCATAGCTTTTATCGCGGGCTTTGAGCGTGGCGACCGAATCAAGAAATTTCGTAAATCCGTAACGAAAATAAACCTAACAACCCCCACTCCGACCGGCACAGCAGTGCCGCGTTTTGAAAGCCGTGGAAGGTTTTATCCGACCCTATTCGTATTAGTATGAAGTGGAGTTAAATATACGTCTGCGGACTGGAACGTTTATGCAATACAAGAACTTCTAATAAATTGGTATCACAAATGTTCCCGGCTGGCGTAAATATTAGATATTAATTTTTTTGCAAGATTTATAATAGTATATTATGAAACGATCATGTAATGATGGTTTAATACACGAGCATTAACGGGGATACGAAACGAGCCAAAGGTGAGTTTCGTATGGTTTATGCGAGTGTTTTAATAACCATTACATACAATAATTATACAAAAGTTCTTATCAGAATAATTCTAATAAAGCATTTAAAACTGTTATAATAGAATTTTCTTGAGATTGCTCTGTAAATGTGTTATAAAAATAATTGACGACCCGTAAGAACGTTTATTCAACAATTCTATAAGTGTTTCCTGCAGACTTTATAAAACAGCTTAAAGAACTACAAAGTTCTATAAAACGGTGCCCATTTTATGGTTATAAGAGTTGAAATAACGTTTTGCTCTATAAAATTTGCTCTGAGAACGTTCTTACGATTTTTTGTAGAACATGATACTGTTAGCTGGGATGTTTACCGAATTTAGTAAAATTATACTGAGAAATAAAAAAATTATAGCCATTAATAATTTTTGAATTTTCTACTTTAACATCCTGTATTTCGGAAACCAGTAATATTTTATCTAAGCATATTTCGTTTAGTCGTCTCATTTTTAATCAGAGAATCTTCATTTGTCCTGTGTCTTATTCTTAATGAGACATCCTGTATATATTTGAAGTTTGTCTGTATTGACTTCAAAATAGAGCCTGCTTTTTAAAACATAGTGAAATAAATAATATAAATACTAGAAGTACAGACAAGTTCAGACCACTAAATTGTAAATACAGTACTTATTATTTTATATTAGGCATAGCGGTGCTTTTAGAGTCAACATGTGGCAACTACGATATCCCCGCTATCGCTATGATTTCTGGCTTTGTGACTGACATTCGGTTCGGCTAATATCCCACCACCATATCTTCTAATTCTAGTCGACGACTGGCTGTAGCGCTGTTGCCATTTTATTAACTTATATACTAGTCTCATGCCTAATACGAAAAAATAAGTAGGTACTATGTCTATCGTGAGTAGGCAAAGGAGTATAAGTCAAAAATTTAGAAGCTGAGTAAATCTATGTTATATGTCTTATAAGTCGACTTACACTGATTTTTCCACCAAAAAAGGTATTTTTGTAATTTGTAAAAAGTTAAATAGCGACCCTAATAGAAAAAATTGACTTATCGCACGTTTTACACTAAGACTGGAACTAATTTACACAAAATGTTTGCTTATACTCCTTTACCCACACACGATTGATATGTAGTTTCTTACAAAGCCCCATTTTGTATGGGATTTAAAAATTTTAATTAACTCCCTGGTGATATTAGAAATATTAAGACATATAATTTGTGTAAAATAAAATAAAAATGTTATCTATAACTGTTATTATAACGTTGTAGATATATTTATTGCTATGATTTTCATATTGTCATTATAATTTTAACATTTGTGTTATGTTGTTGACATTAAATTAGCTGCATTAACTATATTACAACAACCAACACCAATTTTCTAAAACTATTTTTACTCTAGGTACAAATCATACAAGGAGCAAATGCAACGGCAGTACACAGTTCCTTCTAGTCCCACCAGATACGATACAGTCTACGTGGAACCTAACCTCAAAGAATACGAAACGCAAGTACTGCAAATGTGCGTACCGGTCGATGACCAAGAAGACTTCAACGATTTGCACTTAGATTTCAGCAACAAGAATCACACATTTTCTTTAGATAATGTTAGTTATATAGGAAAGGATAGTAATCTTAAGAAATATGGTAAGTAAAAGGTTATATAATTTTTTGGGAGGTTTCATTGGAAGAATTCCATTTGGTAATTAAGGAATTTTTTTTGTATTTTCAGGACAACAAAGTCCAGTCAGTAGTGAATCGGCTACAACAGCCAGAGCTTCTAGTGTAGGGGACTCCCATATTTTAAATAAAAATGATCATTCTAGGAATGATCATATGTATAGGTAGGTTGTGATAACATAGATAATTTATACTTTAAATGATTTATTCATAATTTTTTTATGTATTTTCAATAGTGTTCTCTTTAATTTTCTCTAGTGGAATATGGTGGTGAGTTTTTCGACATAAATTTTATATTTGGTCATCATTTTCTTTTACCAACCGGCCTTGACATCAAAGTTACAAGCTAACAATTACCAATTATTAACAGATTCGATCTTACCTTCTGTTAAAGACCAAACCACTCACTAAAACATTTCATCTTTGGCTAATGTTAACTCACTAGGGGGAAGAAAAGAAAAAACAGAGGTTACGAGTAATTGATAAAAATTATTTTTTAAAGAATATATGACTATATAAAACTAATGAAAAAGTCAGGTTAACAAATTTTATTATTTTTGCCAATAGCCAGCCATTTTTGGCCATCCTGACAGAACGTTAAATCGCCTAATTTGACTGTAGCGTAGTACATTTTTTTCTATATTGAATGTATGTTTTTTTTGTTGCAGATCTTCAGACGAAGATGAAATGAACGCGAGTCCAACCAACGATAACGTAATGTTTAAAGAAAAGAAAGACTATTTGAATTTAGGATTTACCTACGATCATTCTCCTGTAGAAACGACGACAGAACTGTAGATATGTATTTTTAAGGAACCCTGTATAGTCGTATTAAGTAAAACTAATTTATATTATGTTAAATAATTATTATTTTAAACGAGTTTTTAGCAATAATGTTTTTATTACGAATTTTATAATATATAGTTTTAATTTTTTATATTCTTGTTTTATTACTTGCTTACCTTTACTTGAAAGTTCTCAAATTTATATACAGTGAAAATTAAAAAGTTCAAATACCATAATTTGTAACAAAGAACAAATTTTGATCCTTCTAATATTACATTCAGTAGGCAAGTATAAAATACAATAGGTTACCACGAGTGGCGTAGCATGAAGAGGGCAAAGCTTTTTTGGGGGACCCAAACCTCTGTGAGGGGCGCCAAAGGTGCTCTAAACGTAAAGGTCTGGGGTGGAGGGGGGGAATGTCGCCCCTGGCACACATATTAGTACAGTAAAAATAAAATGTTTTCACAAAAAAAATTTAACGTTATTTTAACTCATGACCCTAAAACAAGTTTAAAACCAAATTTTCAAAATCGATTTTTAGTGAAAACGGAAAACAGTAAGTCGTAGTAGAAAATGTTTCCTATAAATATTTTATACAATTTATTTCAGTGAGTTACCACGCTACAATGAAAAAATGGAATGGCATAAAAATTCCCAAAATCTCGTTTTTTCGTCTTTTTTTATGATAAAACTAAATATAAAAGTTGTTCGCCTCTAAAATACCTACAAAATCGTTATAAACATATTTATTTACGACCAATGATTTCGCAGATAGATGCCGAGGAGTTTCGAATATATTGTTTTTTGACGTGATGAGCCAGAATAGGCGCCGACGCTATATTGAAATTCAGTAGCGTGCGGTGACATCTTTGGAAGGGGAAGCGATTGTATAAAAATACAGCAGGCCAGTAAGCACAGCGCCACAGGTGAAAATTTTTCGCGGCGCATTCACCTTTTAGTCAAAATCTTGCCTTTTTCCTCAGTACTACGGATATTCGAGATTGAAATTTTTGAAGTGTTACTATTACTTTATTACCTAGTTTAGTACTAGAAGCTATAAAAAAACTTACTATTGAAAAGCTTCCTTGGTTTATTTAAACGTAAAAAAAACACTGTAGTTGACATTTATTTATAATACTTAAGATCTATTCGCCTATCCTCAATGGCTGTAAATTTTGGATTTTCTGATAACTGTTTATCAAGCTGTTTTTCAATAGATATTAGGGCCAAATTAGAGAGTCTGTCTTCACTTGTTGAATTTCGTATAAAACTTTTAATGCGCTTTAAAGCTGAAAAACTTCGCTCAACTGAAGCACTTGTGGTTGGGATGGTTAGTACTAATTCACACAACTTGACGACTTCACAAAGGGACTTATTTAAACCAGTTGTTATAAGAAAATTTAACACATTGATGAGCGTCTTTTTATTACTAATTTCAACTGTTTCATAAACAACACTTAACAGGGACTTTAATGCTGGAATATCGAAAAAATTTCCGTAATTGAATTTTAGTGAAGTAAAAGCTTCCGATGGAAATTTTGATGAATCGTTGTTACTAATATTAAAATTGCACAATTCAACAAATTTTAATTCGTTAAAGTTTTGAAATCGAGGAGAGTTCATTTGTTGTAAAATATTATAAAAAATTTCGGCGTACAATCGACGATAGGAGGTCTTTCTGTCGCCGACATTATCAACTCTAATTCTCTTTCTTTCAGGTTCTAAGCCAATGTTTTGAGTCTTATTCCAAAAGTGTTCAAACTGATCTAGTTTTTTATTCATTTTATTTTTAAAATCATCAATTTGTTTAATGCAAAAGCCAATGTTATTTGACTTTGTAAAATGTCGAATAAAATGTCAGTAAAAGGGAAAATCTCTGCAAAAATGTTGAGCAAAAATTTGAAATCAACGTCTTAAAAAAAGTGTATCAAAGAATCACGGTATTGAAACACTGTTTGCACTATTGTAGTTCCATTGCGTTGGAGCAACTTTTGGAAACGTTTTTTGAACGTGAATATCCAAGGCGCGAGTTCTTTTCGATAACTTTGAAAAGAAGGAAGCCAAACCACTAAGCGTCGAAAATAAAACTTTGCAATCTTTAATATTATCCATGCTTCCATTAAGTCTATGTGCTATATACAGTGAACGAAAATTGCATGTTTATACTTCTCTTTCACTTTAGCTTGAAGGCCTCCTAAATGGCCAGCCATTACGGCAGCACCATCGTAGCTCTGGGCAACAAGCTTTGAACCACATTCTAAACTTGAAATAATGTCACAAACATTTTTAAACAATGCATCTGCAGTTCGTTCGCTAGTGACGTCCAAAAATCCTAAGAATCGCTCTTGAGGAATGCCATCCAATACATACCGCACAACAATGGATAATTGACTTAAGTTTGCTACATTTGTGGTTTCATCAAGCGCAATTAATACGAAAGGTGCTTTTTTAATTTAACTTTAAGGGTCGGTCTTTTCACCTTCAGATAAAGTGTCAGGTAATTTTTATCTCCCAAGTAACTTAAAAAGTAATCTTTTCACTTCTGGATAAACCTAACTTCTCAATGATAAATTATCTTATTTATGAAATTTCTAATAAAATACTTCACTGATGAATAAACAGGTAGTTACATAACCACATAAGGTTAAAAACTACTGGATACCTACCACACATATTATTTACTTAAAAAAACAGAACATTAATTATCTGACAGACAGTAACTGTCAGATAATATATCCGTCAGTTAGTTATCTGGCACTTTATCTGAAGGTGAAAAGATCGACCCTTAATGTGATCCATCACAACGTCAGCAGTGCATTTAATTAAATCATTTTGGATTCTGTTTGAGGTACCTCGGAAAGTCATCGAATCAATAAAATGATTTTTTAAGCTATCATCGGCACAGTGCATAGTTCCTCCATTTTACAAAAAGAAAAATAACTACGAAAAACAAACTGAAATCTATCTGAAATCTACGATGTTCCTCACACGTCGATTCGCGGAGCGAATTGCAATATGCGTAAGGCGGCGTAACAATCGCCGCCTCTCGACCGTATTTCACGTGCCAAACAGACTGACTATTGTCGCGGCAAAACAGGGGTCAATAACACGAAGCGAAAGATGAACCGGCTGTTTTAAGACGCGCTTTTGCCGACGGACTCGAAGTATAGGCCGTGTGCGTTTACACAATTAATTTTCACATGGGTGGTGCGTCCGTTTACACATTACACCAATGAATTGTTAGTACATTTACGAAGTTTACGTAATGTTCCAGAGAAAATATAGTACCTAATTTAATATTAATTTCTATGAATTGTAAACTGAAAAATATTTATTTTTAAATCTCAAAGTATAGGGAAGCGGTGCTTCCCCCGCTTCCATGGACCGTACGCCCCTGTGAAATTATTTAATATTCGTATAGAGTGTTTTCTAACTGCGGTACGAAACCTCAGATGTTTTATGAAACAAAAGTTGTCCGGAGTTGCTTCGTTAAGGTTTAAAAATAACTTGGGTATTTTATAAATATCATAAATGTCCTTAAACCGATTTAGTTGAAATGTGGTAGTTTTTTGAAGTAATAAGGCGCTTATTTAGCCTTAGCTAGATTGAAGTTATTGGGTCTAGTGGCGTCGCAGTGGGCAACCACAGCCAATAATATTGAGAAAAAAGTAAGTTACTGACTTTTTTGTAATTTTTTGATTTTTTTCAGCTTAGGCAAATAACAATACAACTTTTTGGTTTTTTCTGTTTCCTTCATATCTAGCTTCGTTTAAAAAAAATAGAAGCCGGTCTATTATTACATATCATGAATATGGAAAAAAATTAGTTTTTTATTAATATCAAAAAATCATCTCCCCTATTTGTCTTAACCTTGATACTTACTGGTTTCAATAGTTTACTATTTTTCTCAGGTTTAGAAAATACACATTCACCTTCAATTGCTTTTATTATCACATTTTTGGCATACCACATGTGCTTTTTATAACAAATTATTGCCAAGTCCAATCAAGTAAGTACCTACTTACCTGCTTTGGAGATCAGTTCACAGTGATAATTATTTGTCTGATAGAGAACAGATGGTAAAAGTTGAAAATGAATTAAATACAAGTCAAACAGTTAAATTTGGAATACCCCCAAACAGTGTTAGGTTTTTTACCATTTTCAATTTATCTAAATAATATTTTCACTATTGATACTCTAGGTACTATCATTAGTTTTGCAGACGACACGGCGGTATTTTATGAGGCTAACAGTTTGGAAGAGTTAAAAGAAAAAGCTGAAAGGGATCTAAACCAAATAATAAATTGTTTTAAACATAAACAACTTACAGTTTATGAGAAAACTTATTTTGTTCCCTTCTGTAGCTACAAAAATACACTCCCACTATATAAATCGCTTAAAATATATCAAAATAATGAGACAATAAAAAAAATGATTATATCAAATATTTAGGAGTAACTGTCGACTCCATTTAAGATGGAATTTTCATGTAGATAATATTGTAACATTACGATTGTTACTTTATAAATTTAAATATTTAAAAAATATATAGATGCTACACACCTTCGCCTAATATATTTTAGTCTTGTAATCCAGAATAAGACATGGCATAATATCCTGGGGAGCTATAGACAAGACGCATCTAAAGAAGTTGGATGTAATTCAAAGGAAAATAATAAAAACAATATATAATTAGGAAACAACTTACACGACACTGGCGTAGCGAGCTTAACTCGCGCCCGGGGAACAATACCTTTTTAGCCCCCCCCCCCCCTCTATTCAAAGCCCATATGTAAAATATACTCGCAAACTAATAAATAAATAAATAAATAGTCATAGGATCAAGCTAGGCTTTAAATTTGAGGAAAAAAAATGTAGTTGAGAAAACAGACTAGATTTTAAAATGTATATGATCATCTAGAATTAGTTCAAAAGATACCTACATATTTATAAAGAAATATTTTAAAAACGCAGTTTTAAAACAATAAAAAGTAAATATTTATTATCTCTAAGGAGATACATGTATTTAATAATAACATGATTACAATACATTAATAAAACTAATTACTATGTACAAATTTTCTTTGCTTTTAATGAAGCTAATTTATCAATAATATCA